AGACAAGTCGCGGACAAACGCCCGAGATCCCCAGACACGGAACACAGACGCATCGCCAACCTTCCCCGTCCACAGCAAGGCTGGGGACATCGCTGGCCGAGAGACCCGGGGGTGAAGGTTGAGCTGATGCGCCGCGTACCTCACCGCAAACGGCCACAGAAAATGGGGGGCAGCCGCATGCATCATGGACGTACGAGCGACATCCATGACCATGCCAATGCGGCGCTCAGCAATCCCATTTTGCTGTGGTGAGTCCGGAAGCGTGAAGGTCTGGCGGATCCCCCGTGCACGACAGTAGTCTCGCAGAAGGCGAGAAGAGAACTCTCCGCCTCTGTCAGAGTGCAGACGCAGAACAGGAAAGTCCGAGCCGAAGCTCTTCCTGAGCTGGAGACGAGCCTCGCGGATCCAGTCGATCAGCACCTCAGTGACCGCACCCTTGCTGCGCAAGGGGAGGACTGTGGTGTAACGCGAGTAGTCGTCAACCACCAACAGGAAGTAGCGCTCGTAACCCTGCCCACGGACGGGGGCTGGGCCCCACACATCCATGTGAAGCGTCTGCAGGGGAGCCTCTGTCGGGGGGAAGTGGGAGGAGTGAGGAGTAGCCCGGAGGCGACCCTCGACACAGGGGACACAGGAAGGTCCTGGCCCGGAGGGGAGAGGAGGGAGAGACTGGGGAAGACCAGAGACAAGGACACGGGAAGCCATGCTCCGAAGACGGGGCAAGGAGGGGTGGCCAAGACGGTGGTGCCACAGGAGAGTCTCGTGAGACAGGAGGCGACAAGAACAGGGGGCAGACTCAGGACCTGACCGGGACGCAGCAGCAAGTACCTGACCCGACGCAGCCACCTGACCAGACTCAGGGACAGGAGGAGACTCAACGGTCAGGGTGTAGAGACTCGACCCCGGCCGACGTGAGAACGTGGCCAGGTGTCGGCCTGTGCGAGCCTCCGTGCAGTGGGTCACCCTCTGACGCGCAGGAGTGAACTGGTGAACACCCCCATCCTGCAGGTCCGCTCCACTCACCAAGTTCGTAGAGAACGAGGGAAGGTACAGACCCGACAGGGTGCCCGAAGGGGCAGCCGGACACGGGAGGACAGTGGAGAAGTGAGACAGGACAGGACCCCCAGAGGGGTCAGCAAGGGAGACCGCAACCGGCCTGGCGAGCGGCGAAAGGGTAGTGCGGTCTCGAAAGAAGGAGCGAGAAGCTCCGGAGTCAAGTGTGAAAGTGAGGGAGGACGAGGATGACTCAGTACCTGAGAGCGCAGTCTCACTAGTACCTGAGAGCGCAGACGCACTGGCACCTAGAGCAGCAGCCTCACAAGCACCTAGCGCAGCAGTACCAATGCCCGGGTCGGGCTGAAAACACCGGTATCCCTCATTCTCCTCACTATAATCCACAACATACATAGCAGTAAGGATAGCATCAAAATCAAGATCAAAGATCGCTACACCAGCCCTGAGAAGCTCATCCCAGCGAGGGATCTCACTAGCCCCAGGGAACTGCTGACGCCAAGCGTCCGTCAGGCGGCCAAAGCAGCGCTGGGTGGCGTGGGCACCCCCACACTGCTCACCCGCGCGGTCGCCGGAACGAAGAACGTAGGTGCAGGGACCAGTACCCCCACCCCTCTGACGCCCAGCGTACCACTCACGAAGCTGCTGAGGCGAAGGGATGTCCCGCGAGCGCTGCTGCTGCTGCCGGTGCGAGTGCTGGCCACCACCACCGCCGCTACGCTGCTGGGTACCACCCCGACCAGCTCCACCTCCTCCACCACTACTGCCTCCTCCGCTGCCGCCTCCACTGCCTCCACCTCCGCCGCCTCCACCTCCGCCGCTGCCTCCACCACCACCGCTGGCACCACCACCACCGTCTCCGCCGCTGCTGCCGCCACCACCACCACCACCCCCGCCACTAGCCCCGCCGCCACCCCCACTCCCTCCGCCGCCACCGCCGCCACCGCCACCGCCCCCTCCAGCTCCACCCGCGCCCTTGCCCCCCTTGCCCTTGCTGGAGCGACGTCTCCCACTAGGGGCAGACGCCGCGCCGACCGACTCAAGACCAAGCAGGTCGGCAGCAGCAGCAGAGGCAACAGAGGGCAGCAAGGGGGAAGGAGAGCACCCCTCAAAGATGGGGGTGCGAGGGTCACCACGAGAAGCACCTACAGCGACTATGCTCTTCTCCGCTGCAAGGAGGGCCTTCTCGAGGAGGTCGACGGTGAGAGTGGTGGGACAGACTGCGAGAAAGTGGTCCCTGACGACACGAAGGGAGTCAAGGAGGCGTGCGACTACGTAGTAGAGAGCGATGTACATGGGGGGGGGTTTCTTAGCGCAGAACTCAGCAGGAAGGGCGGCGCGGTAGCGAGTGTCACTAGTGCGGAGGTGCGTAATGAGGTCAGCGACAGTGGGAAAGGCAGAGAGGTCAGGAAAGAGGTAGAGAAGCATGAGACGGCTCAGTGCAGCAGTGGCAGGGGAGGAGTAGCGCGCAACTACAGCGTCGTACAAGGTCTGAGCACTCTTGTACTGACTAAAGTGCGCACGCTCAGAGGTAGGGAGGTGGCGACGCACAGCAAGACGTGCAGCAGCATCGCGGGTGGCCCACTTAGAGCGAACAGCGGGATCAGCATCAGCAGCAGGGGCAGGAGAGGCGCCAGAGGTGAGGTCAAAGAGAGAAAGGTCGTCAGCCCTGTCGCACTGTAAGAACAGCTGCAGGTCGTCTAACCAGACCTCAAAATCAATGGCGCGACCCTCAGCGTCAAAAGGTAGGACACTAGGGGTAGCCACGACGACGACTGTGAAGCAGTGCAAGCAGTAGGGGGGAGAGCATGCAGTGACAGTGGGACTGTGCTCACCAGGCAGGGCAGGTCGCGCAGCTCGACAGAAAAGCAGAACGGCGACCGGGCGGCTCAGGTGTACAGCGGCTCGGCTCCCGGGCGGCTCGGCGGCAGGGCGGCTCGGGTGCAGGGCGGCTCGGCTCCCGGGCGGCTCGGCTGCAGGGCGGCTCGGGTGCAGGGCGGCTCGGCTCCCGGGCGGCTCGGCTGCAGGGCGGCTCGGGTCCCGGGCGGCTCGGCTGCAGGGCGGCTCGGCTCCCGGGCGGCTCGGGTCCCGGGCGGCTCGGCTCCCGGGCGGCTCGGCTGCAGGGCGGCTCGGGTCCCGGGCGGCTCGGTGACAGGCGGCTCGGGTCGCGTAGAAGTGAGACGGGGCGGGGCCGCGTCAGGGCCGGCGGTAGGGCTGCGTAGGAGCCGGGGCAGGGCCGCGAAGGAGCCGGGGCGGGGCTGTGATAGGAGCCGGGGCAGGGCCGCGTAGGAGGCCGGCGGTGTGGCCGCGTAAGGGCCGCGTAAGGGCCGCGTAAGGGGCCGGTGCGGGGCCGCGTAAGGGCCGCGTAGGAGCCGGCGCGGAGCCGCGTAGTGGCCGGGGACGGGGCCACGAAAGGGCCGGGGCTGGGCCGCGTAAGGAGCCGGCGAGGGGCCGCGTAGGAGCCGGCGGCGTGGCCGCGTAAGGGCCGCGTAAGGGCCGCGTAAGGGGCCGGCGCGTAAGGGCCGCGTAAGGGCCGGGGCGGGGCCGCGTAAGGGCCGCGTAAGGGCCGCGTAAGGGGCTGGCGTGGGGCCGCGTAAGGGCCGCGTAAGGGCCGGGGCGGGGCCGCGTAAGGAGCAGGCGGCGGGGCCGCGTAAGGAGCAGGGCGGGGCCGCGACAGAGTGGGCGGCGAGGCCGCAGAGGAGAGAGCGACTCGAGGGGTCGCTAAAAAAAATTCGCGCCTCGGGGGCGCGCTTCGGTGGGCCCAAAAATTTCGGTCCTGGAGGGACCTAGCTCTATACCATGTGAAAAGAGTAAGCAGGAATGGATGAACTATGAATGAAACCCTAACTGGGTTGTACCCCCTATGGGATACCCCACTACAGCCTACACAGCAGTATAAGCTATAGATATGTTCTGACAGAAAGGAGCAGAGAAAAAACTACGAAAGCATCTAAAGAATAACGAGGAGAAAAAATCAGACATGAAGGAAAACGACGCAAGAAGAGGAGAGACGAAGGAAGCGAAAGCAATAAAGGAACGTAGGAAAAACGACATAAAAAACACTTAGAATCACAAGAAGAGGACCGTACCGTAGATGGAAAGGGAGGAGAAGTACAAGGAAGAATACCAGATCGATTGATTTGACAAGAAAAACGAGGAGAGGGAATAACAAAGAAGCGATCGTAGATCGAGAGGGATAGGTTAATAGTATTCTAAGCTCACCTTAGTAGTTAACATAGAAGAGGTTGTGTTGGAGGTAGGGTAGTTAGCAGGAGCGGTAGTTGAAGCAGAAGAGGGAACTAACGGGAGAAGGAGCAGAGGGCACCAGCGAGAAAGGGAAACGGAATTCCTAAGGAGGCTTGACTTCACGGAAATATATAACACAACTTTATTATAATGTCGACTTCTTTATCAGCCGACGTAGCGCGACGGTTTCGAAATCTCTTGTAGATGGAAAGATCTCGTGATTGATTCACCGCAGAAATGAACCCTGACGATCTCGGTTTTCGAAAGTTACATTTGCTGTACGTGTTGTGAAAGTTACATCTCGATATTAATGATATGTTTTGTGCAAAAATATGAAAAGCTCCGCAACCCTAAGACGGTTTCGTCGCCTCTTGTTTTTTTTTTTTAGAGGTAAGGTTGACGACAACAAAGGAAACAGGAGCAACTGCTGGTGGTTGGACGAGAATGGAGTGGAACAACAAAGTTCCGAAATGAAGACGTGGATGGAGGCCAAATGGCCTCCAACCCTCTTATATATTCGGCGAATGCTAATTCGCAGTTGCCTTGCTGCGCTACAGTCAGCTGCGCTTTCACAATATGAATTTTTAGAAAGTGTTACACACTTGCAAAAAATTTCATGCTTGTTCCAGACAAACCCTTTTGTCCCCGCTTGGCCCTTGCCCCATGGAGGGTGGTCCTTCTAGTTGACTTGAAACTCTCAAATCAACTCAGAAGGGCAGCAGCCGCCACAGGGCCTGTGCTAGTCATAAGGCACCCGGTTGGTCCTTGCCCCATGGCGGGTGGTCCTCTGTCCAATTGGCTGGCGGCCGTGGCTTCCACCCCGGGATCTCATCGTTGAAGAAGTCGTACCAGATGTGCCCTGCACGGCGACAGGCAGGGCAGGGGGGAGACAGGAACGCCATGGTGATTCGAGTGATTTGCAGGTCTAGAATCAGAGGCTTCCACCCACCCAGGCACATGTGGAGATTTCATTGTTGAAGCAATCGCACCAGATGCGGCCTGGAAGGGTACGGAGTGGGCAGGGGGGGACATGGTGAGCTCATGTAAGATGCGGTTGAAACACCACATGTCTTCCACTCGGGATGGCATCCAGGGCATGCAGGAAAGCTAAGCGTGCCCACGATGTGTGGGGTGGGTGCATGCAGAGCAGCAACAGGTGTGGCATGGCATGGCTGTGCACCATACATGGCTTTTTACCATACCTGGCTTTTCACCATACCTGGCTTTTCACCACACCTGGCTTTTCACCATAACTGGCTTTTCACCATACCTGGCTTTTCACCATACCTGGCTTTTCACCATACATGGCTTTTCACCATACCTGGCTGTGCACCGTACCTGGCTGTGCACCATACCTGGCTGTGCACCGCACCTGGCTTTGTTCCATACCTGGTTGTGCACCGTACCTGGCTGTGCGCCATACCTGGCTGTGCGCCATACCTGGCTGTGCACCATACCTGGCTTTTCACCATACCTGGCTTTTCACCATTCCTGGCTGTGCATCATACCTGGCTGTTCACCGTACCTGGATGTGCACCGTACCTGGCTGTGCACCGTACCTGGCTGTGCACCGTATATGGCTATTTACCGGAACTGGCTTTTCACCCTACCTGGCTGTGCACCGTACCTGGCTGTGCACCATACCTCACTGTGCACCGTACCTGGCTATGCATTGTACCTGGCTGTGCACCGTACCTGGCTGTGCACCGTACCTGGCTATGCACCGTACCTGGCTGTGCACCGTACCTGGCTGTGCACCGTACCTGGCTGTGCACCGTACCTGGCTGTGCACCGTACCTGGCTGTGCACCGTACCTGGCTGTGCACCATACCTGGCTGTGCACCGTACCTGGCTGTGCACCGTACCTGGCTGTGCACCATACCTGGCTGTGCACCGTACCTGGCTGTGCACCATACCTGGCTGTGCACCATACCTGGCTGTGCACCATACCTGGCTGTGCACCATACCTGGCTGTGCACCATACCTGGCTGTGCACCATACCTGGCTGTGCATTGACGCAGCACCAGATGCCCACGTACTGCCGCAGTCGCCATCTGAACTTCCTCTCCATGGCCTGCCCACCCAGCCATGCAAAGCGCCCACAGGAGGACAGAGGATGGAGGAGATCGGAGTCGACTAGAAAACATACCTACGCAACATAAACTGAGTTGTCAAATTAGGGATACCATCAGAGCCGGCACATGACATGAGTAGCTGCGCATACCATGCAGCAGCACACGACAGAGATGGTACATTAGATTTGAGAAAAGAGGAGAGGGGGAGCACAGAGGGTATGGGAAGAGAATGAAGAGGAGAGGAAACAGGGAGAGGCGAAGGGGACAGTTCTCTCACCTTGTCGTCCCAGCCTCCAAAGGAGTCCACCATGGAAGAAAACTCGATCCACTTGATGTCTGAGTAACGCGAGAGCACTGCCTTCAGCTGCAGGGACGATGAGTGGCATGGGGGGAGGGGACGCGAAAGGGAAGGAGACGAGTGTGTGCGTTGGTAGGAGGTGGAGGGGAAGAGGAGCCGCGAGATCAATGAGGGCAAACGAAAGACTGGATTGGCAGCACGTCACAGCACGGCAGCATACCTGCCAGCCAGCCAGTCATCTTCCATTTCCCACCCAACCATTTCAATCTAGCCACCTCGTTGTGCCTGGTGCTCTGCCATCTTGCCTCTCTCTCAATACAGCAAGTCGCCCCAAACTCGGTTACTGGAGTGGGGACGAGACATGCTCAAGGTTGTTGTGCCGTGCGTTCATCTTCATTCGGGCCTTGCCACTCCACAAAGTGGGGGTCTCGAGCGTTAGCTTCCCTACCACCCACCCGCCCTCCCACTTTCCACCCCACGGCACCTCGTTCTGCCGCGTGTTCTTCTTCATGCGAATGGTGTCGGTGGGGCCATCGGGCGTGGAGGGGCAGTCGGGCGAGCCCTCGTCACACAGCTGCACGGCCAGCTTCGACTTGAGCACCTGCGCAATGGTGGCAAGGGGGAGGGATGTGGGAGAGGGGAAGCGGTGAGAGAGCCAGGGAGAGCCTGGCTGTTAGAAGGAAATGCTGCCATGAGCAACAAAATGTCTGCGCTAGGATTCGAACTCGTGACCTTCAAACCTGTCCTGAAAGTGTCTTAGGACAGATTCAGGACAGTTTCTGCTAAGGCGCTGGTTATGGTGCACACGAGTTTCGAACTGGAGACCTTTCGATTCAAGTGTCCCGAAAGTGTCTTGTCAGGACAGATTGGGGACAGTTTGGCGAAATCAATCTCGGGTCGCGTTCGGTTTGAAACTCGGCAGCGAAGTGTCGAAGTCAACGGAATTCGCACGGGAGTTACAGTCGGTGGTCGACGGAATTCTTGTTGCGGAAATTCTCGTCTACGGAATTCCAGTCAATGGAATTCGCTCGGCGAAATTCAAGGCTCCGAATTTCACGTCGACGAAATTCAACGTGCGACCCGGGTCGACACTATCTTGTGTGCTTTTATTTTGTATTGCGTCCTAGTATAAAACCAGAGAGCACAAACCAGAAATTAACCAAGTCATTATCACTGCTATGTTTGTGTGTATCTCCGGCTATAGTGGACCGTTTCCTGCACTCTTTGGTGCGTTGGAATCGTGCTTCTGAGCTCTATCAAGCTGCTATAGTAGTGGAATTATACATGGTATCAGAGCTGCGTTATCTGCGTCGATCCAACTAGCGGCTTGATTTTGTCCTCCCATCACTTCGTTCCCACGTTGGTGTGGCCGACGCTCGTTTTGACTGCGCATGGAGTGGTTAACGAGCGCCGAGGATCTGAATGCCCGTCAGGAGCTGGAGGCGTCCGTTCGTGAGCACCACCCTCACTTGCGTGATGAGGAGGTCGACCTCATTGTGGATGGTCGTCTACTACGCATGGTTCGGGAGCGCGCGGCGGAGCAAGCACCAGCGAGCAGCCAGCAAGGAGGAACTGGGGAAGGAGGAGCTATGCATGAGGCTCCTAGTGCTGTGGGCATTGGTGGAGGAGCTCTTGCACCGACCATTGACACGGGAATGATCGGCACGAGCTATGGCCAATTCATGTTTAGAGTTGAGCACATCTCGGTGACACCGCTGCTGGAGGGAAGGCACGACCTTACCGCGTGGGTCAGCGCCATCCGACCTCAGCTCCAGTGTGCTGATTTGTGGCAGTTTTGCAACGGGACAGCACCAAGCCCGGCCCCAAACAACCCCTTGCAACGAAGGGAGTACGCAAAGGGTCAAATGCTTGCATTCATGGTGCTGAACCGATGTGTTTCTCCACCCATCCGAATGTCCATCTCTGGTTTCTCCCAGCAAGAGAAAGCGGGGCAGCTAGCATGGGCATATATCTTGTCTACTTATCAAGTTCGTGATGCTCTCCACGCTTCCCTACTTCAGACCAAGTTGAACCAACTCAGGAAGGGAGACGATGAGACAGCGGAATCCTACTGCAATAGGGCCCGCCCCATCCGAGCGGAGCTGCAGACCATTGGACAGGAGGTCCACATGGCCACGTTTGCTGCCCACGTGCTGAAGGGCCTACCACCGGAGTACGGATTTCTTCGCCGCAAGCTCGAAATTTCCAGCCCTGACATGACGGTGGAACGCGTGTGCAGCGAGGTGTTGATGGAGGAGCAGACTCTCTCCATCGAACAGAGTTACAAGCAGATCACCAGCGATGCATCTGCTTTCTCGGGCGCAATCAACACCATCGTGGCTACAACGGGGGTCAACGAGAAGGAAGGAAAAGGGGGGAGGGAGCAGACGGACAAGAAGAAGGATGGCAAGCGGGAGAAGAAGCAAGCCCCCTTCAAGGGGCGCTGCTACAACTGCAATGAGGAGGGGCACATGGCTGCCAAGTGCCCCAACAAGAAGAAAGATACAACGCCCGCGGCAGCCGCGAACGTAGCTGCAGGAGACGGGAAGGGCGTGGCGCTCATCGTCGCGTGTTCGGCGGCAAAGTTGCTGGCCGAGGACAAGGACTTGTGGTTCCTTGACTCAGGATGCTCCCAACACATGACCGGCCGCAAGGAGTGGTTCACGGTGATCCGTGACCCATCAGCAACGAAATCAGTCAAAGGGTTTGATGGTTCTATGCAGGAAGTTGCCGGTGTTGGTGAGGTTTTGCTGGAGGGCACTAACGGCTTGCGTGTGACCCTACATGATGTCCTCTTTGTGCCAGGAATGAAGGCCAACTTGGTCTCCCCTGGGCAGCTCTTGGACAAGGGAGCAAAGCTGCAAACCGAGGAAGGTGTCACTCGCATCATCGCATCAGGAGGTCAAGTGGCTGCAACGCCACGATACCGCCATCGCCTTCACTGCCTTGACCTGATACCGGGGCCAGCAAGGAACGGTGCAATGGCAGCAGTGGCATGCAACGGCATGGCGGCTGCAGCGGCATGCACCGATATGGCGGGTGGAGCGGCGAGCAACAGCACAGAGGCTGCAGCGACATGCAACGGCACGGCGGCTGCAGCGGCATGCAACGGCAAGGCAGCTGCGGCGGCATGCAACGGCAGGGCGGCTGCGGCGGTATGCAACGGCACGGTGGCTGCAGCAATATGCAACAATACGGCGGCATGCAATGGCATGGCAGCTGAGGTGGCATGCAACGGTATGCCTAAGGCATTTGCTGAGGTGGTGTCAAGCGCACCGGAAGAGAATGACGAAGCGGCCAGCCTCACAACATATGCGGTGGGGACCGAGGCGATGCTCAACCTGCAGCACACTCACCTTGAGAATGACCATGCTGGTGCGGTGCAGTGGACAGACACAAACAGTGGCATGCTGGGCATGGACCTAGAGAAAGGAGGGGAGGACACGTCGAGCGCCTCCTCCCAAGAAGCCAAACTCACTCGTCAAACGCTTCCGCTGCCTGACGAGCGAGAGGGGGAGGTTCTTGGGATGGTCCATAGCCCTGAGCAGAATCAGCCGCCGTCACGTACCGTCATCATAATCTCAGTGCCGTCCGTGCAAGGGGGCGAACAACCGTTTGATCGTTTGGTTGACCCTACAGGCAGCAACGCAACCATGGCTCCGCCAGCTCTCTGTCCATCCTTAGCTGCTGACTTGGCACCTGTGGGACCAGAGGTTGGTCCCTCTGTGGATGAACGTCGTGCAGCTGATGAAGACAAGGAAGGAGAGGCAACGGACCTGAAATCGGCGACAACCCATGGGAAGGACCCCATACCCACGGTTCCGCCCCTCCAGCCCACTTCCCTACCCCCATGTCATTCTAGCAGGTCCAACAAGGGTATGCCATCTGTTCGGCTTCCCGCATCCACCATGACAGCCTCGGATGCAGTTGATGGCAACAACAAGTACGGCATTGCATTCCTTGCTAGAGGTGCTTATGGCACGGACATCTACTATGATGTGGAGTACTTGGATGAGGCTGATGAGGAGGAAGGGGGATTGAGGAGCATCATCATCAACCTCGAAGTAACCTTTACTGGACTTGAAGGCAAGGTGGTGGACAAAGGTCTCCTCGTGGTGGAATACATGTCATCCACGGAAGGCTATCTTGGTCTGCAGATTGTGCGCGACCACCCCAACAGGACACTCTTCCTGCACCAGAATGCGTACGTGGCGAAGGTGCAGCAGCGGTTCTTCAAGGGGGCGCCACCAAAGAAGCAGCCTATCACTCCTCTCTCCTCTGCCAGCTTTGCCAAGCAGGATGCCGGCCAGTTTGCCAATCGTACCATGACCGAGTACTTGTCAATTCTCGGCATGGTGCAGTTTGCAGCCATCTCAACCCGTCCTGACCTCTCTTTTGCATGCAGTCGCCTTGCAGCAGGTACACACCTCAGGACCGATGCGCATTGGCATGAGCTCTTCCGCACACTCTCCTACGGGGCTGCCTCACCGGACAAGAGGCTGCTGTTCAAGGGAGGACCAGAGAGTTTGACTCTCGTAGGGTATGCAGATGCGGATGATGCAGGCGACAAGGGGAACCGGTCGTCCACGGGAGGCTACCTCTTCAAGCTTGGCGGAGCTGCCGTTTCATGGCAGGCCAAGAAGCTACAGGGTGCAACCAAACTTTCCTCCACCGAGAGCGAGCTTGTGGCTGCGGTGGAAGCGGGAAAGGAGGGGCGCAAGCTAAGGTTCCTGCTGTGGGAGTTTCAACTGCTCAAGAAGGGTGTCCCCACCACCCTGTACGTCGACAGCATGTCAGAGTGCAGCTCAGCCAGGCGGGCGGGCTGCAGGGGCGCATGAAGCATGTGGACCGTCGCCACATGTGGCTACAAGACATGGTGCGCATGAAGAAGTTGGAGGTGCAGCATATCCCTACAACGGCGCAGCCCGCGGACTTCTTCACGAAGCGGCTCGAGAAGGCAGCCTTCAACCAATGCTGTGCAGCAGCCGAGCTGTTCCAGCGTGCTCCTGACAGCAAGGGGGCGTGTTAGAAGGAAATGCTGCCATAAGCAACAAAATGTCTTCGCTGGGATTCGAACTCGTGACCTTCAAACCTGTCCTGAAAGTGTCTCAGGACAGATTCAGGACAGTTTCTGCTAAGGCGCTGGTTATGGTGCGCACGAGTTTCGAACTGGAGACCTTTCGATTCAAGTGTCCCGAAAGTGTCTTGTCAGGACAGATTGGGGACAGTTTGGGGACAGATTGGGGACAGTTTGGCGAAATCAATCTCGGGTCGCGTTCGGTTTGAAACTCAGCAGCGAAGTGTCGAAGTCAACGGAATTCGCACGGGAGGTACAGTCGGTGGTCGACGGAATTCTTGTCGCGGAAATTCTCGTCTACGGAATTCCAGTCAATGGAATTCGCTCGGCGAAATTCAAGGCTCCGAATTTCGCATCGACGAAATTCAACGTGCGACCCGGGTCGACACTATCTTGTGTGCTTTTATTTTGTATTGCGTCCTAGTATAAAACCAGAGAGCACAAACCAGAAATTAACCAAGTCATTATCACTGCTATGTTTGTGTGTATCTCTGGCTATAGTGGACCGTTTCCTGCACTCTTCGGTGCGTTGGAATCGTGCTTCTGAGCTCTGTCAAGCTGCTATAGTAGTGGAATTATACACTGGCATGGTTTGAAAAAGGGAGGGGTGAGGGGGGGATCTGGCGTTGCTGGGCCAAATTCACCCTCTTTGAGCTTGCCTGTCTGGCAGCAGCGCTGCACCTCCAGCACATGATCCACGCGGGGCAGCAACGGCTGGGGCATGCGTGCTGGAATGTGGAATGTGCCCCAGGCAGAGGTGGCGGCGAGAGCAGAGCACAGCACTCACCGCTTGTGGGGTGCGTGGGTTGTCGAGGAAGGAGTACTCGCGGATGGGCACGGCGGGGCCGAACTCGTCGTCCTTGAGTGCGCCGGGCAGCATCTTCTGCACCTCCACCACGTGGTCCGCGGGCGCCAGGAACGGCTGCGGTGTGTCGGTGCCGTCTAGTATCCCGGGGTGGGGGAACCAGATGCGATCGAACCGCACCCACGTGGCAGGCAGCACCTGCAGTGGTGGGGGAAGGGCGCAGGTGTTTTGGATGGGGGAATCAAACGGTTCCTTTAAGTCGTGCCCACGCGCTTCAACACATGCATGCGCAGAGCAGGGCAGAGCGAAGCAGAGCAGATCGGAGCGGATCGGATCGGAGCGGGGCGGGGCGGGGCGGGGCGGAGCAGGGCAGGGCAGGGCGGGGCGGGGCGGGTGAGACAAAGACTTACAAGTGTTCTGTTGAGTATTGTGGCGATGGCGAGCGCTGATCTGAGATTGACGAGCTGCACGATGGATGCACGGAGGAGAGGAAGCATAGAAGAGGGAGATCAGTCAAATTGACTCAAGTCGAGCCCAGTATTAGTGAGTGATGGCATGGACCGTGTCTGAGACGGATGCTGATAGTTGCATGAGTGGAGGGCAGAAGACGACAGACGAGGGACTTTTCACACGCTTAAAATGACACGTGGCAGGATGTGAGAGAAAATAAGTATGCTAGCCTAGAGGTTGGCAGGGTTGACCAGGTTGACCAGGTTGATTCCTGCTGCTTGGCTGCTCGTCTAGCACTGGCTGACCTGGTTGACTGGGCTGGCAGGGAGCTGACCTAGCAGGGAGCTGACCTGGTAGTTGACGAGGCTGAAGTGCGTCTGCAGAGAGTGGTCGCCACCTGTCAGCAGCTCCTCCGGAATGTTGTTAACGAATGACAGCACGCCACCTGGCAGGTACGCCACGCACACAGCATGTGGAGCCTGAATGAAAGCAGCAGAATGAAGCAGGGATGAACACGTACAAACCACTGTCTCAACCAAGTTAAGGCCACTGTGACTGGCGAATTGCAGTACTGTGGCAATCAACGCCACAGCTTCTCTGAACTGAAGCAATGCCTCTTGCTGTCCGTCTGCGTGCCATATGCCTGCCTGACCCACTTATTCGCACTCTCATTACTGATAACTAGGCCACTGTTTAGATTCTCAGCTCCCCACCTGGCGGGTCACAGTACTCGGGAGGGTCAATCAACGCCACGGTCTCTCTGAAGCCATGCCGCTTGCCGCTTTCCATGCGCCTGCCTGTCCCCTTTACTAGCCGTCTCATGGCATGGCATGCACCAGTCCACGGTACCTGGAGGGTCGTAGTACTCCGGGGGGTCGATGAACGCCATGGCCTCGCGGAAGCGGTGGCGCTTGCCGTTGGTGCCCGCGAACTGGAACGTGGCGTGCATGGCGTACGGCTCCACGCCCACCCGCCGGTACAGGTGCTGGTGGCCGCCCAGGGGCGCGGGTGGGAGGGAGAGGGGATGGGGGGGGAAGGGGGAAAGGGCAAGGGGGCACGGGAAGTGCGAGAGTGCGATGCATGGAAAAAGGGTTCCGGCTGAACCGTTTAGCCCCCCACGTGGTACCGGTGCTGGTGGGGTGGACGGGGGAGAAGAGGCAGGAGGAAAGAGGGAAGCTTGAGAGCAGGATGCATGGCGTAGCGCTCTTGCCCTGCGTTGCCACATTCTCACGTGCTCAAAGTAGGTGCGGGCAGAGCAGAGCAGAAGAGTGCGACGGGCACTATCCCCAGGTTGTGGCCAAAGCGGGACAGCACTACAAGTCAGCATCCGCAGCCTCAGAAGAGACCCAAATCAACTCAAGTCTACGCAAGTGAATGCGGGCATGCACGTGTGTCACCTGCACGAAGTAGGTGTGGCCGGAGCAGAAGAGCGCGACGGGCAGGATGCCGAGCTTGAGCGAGCCGTCGAAGGCCCAGAAGACGTGGTCGTGGGCGTCGGGGTTGACGTCGGGGCCCAGCTTCTGCCGCATGAGGTCGTTGAAGCCGTTCTGGTCCCACACCTTGGCGTCCAACGCCAGCTGCTCCGCCCACGCGCGCGCAAACCGCTTTGCCGGATCCGTGGGGCGGAAGTGCAGAATGCCTATGTTGTACGCGCCCTGGGCTATTGGGGGGGGGGCCAGGGAGAGAGAAGCAGAGAATGTAAAGGTGAGGCGAAAGTGCAGAATGCCTATGTTGTACGCGCCCTGGGGTGGGGTGGATTAAGAGCGGGTGTGAACAAGCGGCACGATAACCAGTGAAAAGATGAGGCACTAACTGCCTTTTGAGTCGACTCAAAAGTCACGATGAGAAGTGAAAAGATGAGGCACTAACTGCCTTTTGAGTCGACTCAAAAGTCACGATGAGAAGTGAAAAGATGAGGCACTAACTGCCTTTTGAGTCGACTCAAAAGTCACGATGAGAAGTGAAAAGATGAGGCACTAACTGCCTTTTGAGTCGACTCAAAAGTCACGATGAGAAGTGAAAAGATGAGGCACTAACTGCCTTTTGAGTCGACTCAAAAGTCACGATGAGAAGTGAAAAGATGAGGCACTAACTGCCTTTTGAGTCGACTCAAAAGTCACGATGAGAAGTGAAAAGATGAGGCACTAACTGCCTTTTGAGTCGACTCAAAAGTCACGATGAGAAGTGAAAAGATGAGGCACTAACTGCCTTTTGAGTCGACTCAAAAGTCACGATGAGAAGTGAAAAGATGAGGCACTAACTGCCTTTTGAGTCGACTCAAAAGTCACGATGAGAAGTGAAAAGATGAGGCACTAACTGCCTTTTGAGTCGACTCAAAAGTCACGATGAGAAGTGAAAAGATGAGGCACTAACTGCCTTTTGAGTCGACTCAAAAGTCACGATGAGAAGTGAAAAGATGAGGCACTAACTGCCTTTTGAGTCGACTCAAAAGTCACGATGAGAAGTGAAAAGATGAGGCACTAACTGCCTTTTGAGTCGACTCAAAAGTCACGATGAGAAGTGAAAAGATGAGGCACTAACTGCCTTTTGAGTCGACTCAAAAGTCACGATGAGAAGTGAAAAGATGAGGCACTAACTGCCTTTTGAGTCGACTCAAAAGTCACGATGAGAAGTGAAAAGATGAGGCACTAACTGCCTTTTGAGTCGACTCAAAAGTCACGATGAGAAGTGAAAAGATGAGGCACTAACTGCCTTTTGAGTCGACTCAAAAGTCACGATGAGAAGTGAAAAGATGAGGCACTAACTGCCTTTTGAGTCGACTCAAAAGTCACGATGAGAAGTGAAAAGATGAGGCACTAACTGCCTTTTGAGTCGACTCAAAAGTCACGATGAGAAGTGAAAAGGTGAGGCACTAACTGCCTTTTGAGTCGACTCAAAAGTCACGATGAGAAGTGAAAAGATGAGGCACTAACTGCCTTTTGAGTCGACTCAAAAGTCACGATGAGAAGTGAAAAGATGAGGCACTAACTGCCTTTTGAGTCGACTCAAAAGTCACGATGAGAAGTGAAAAGATGAGGCACTAACTGCCTTTTGAGTCGACTCAAAAGTCACGATGAGAAGTGAAAAGATGAGGCACTAACTGCCTTTTGAGTCGACTCAAAAGTCACGATGAGAAGTGAAAAGATGAGGCACTAACTGCCTTTTGAGTCGACTCAAAAGTCACGATGAGAAGTGAAAAGATGAGGCACTAACTGCCTTTTGAGTCGACTCAAAAGTCACGATGAGAAGTGAAAAGATGAGGCACTAACTGCCTTTTGAGTCGACTCAAAAGTCACGATGAGAAGTGAAAAGATGAGGCACTAACTGCCTTTTGAGTCGACTCAAAAGTCACGATGAGAAGTGAAAAGATGAGGCACTAACTGCCTTTTGAGTCGACTCAAAAGTCACGATGAGAAGTGAAAAGATGAGGCACTAACTGCCTTTTGAGTCGACTCAAAAGTCACGATGAGAAGTGAAAAGATGAGGCACTAACTGCCTTTTGAGTCGACTCAAAAGTCACGATGAGAAGTGAAAAGATGAGGCACTAACTGCCTTTTGAGTCGACTCAAAAGTCACGATGAGAAGTGAAAAGATGAGGCACTAACTGCCTTTTGAGTCGACTCAAAAGTCACGATGAGAAGTGAAAAGATGAGGCACTAACTGCCTTTTGAGTCGACTCAAAAGTCACGATGAGAAGTGAAAAGATGAGGCACTAACTGCCTTTTGAGTCGACTCAAAAGTCACGATGAGAAGTGAAAAGGTGAGGCACTAACTGCCTTTTGAGTCGACTCAAAAGTCACGATGAGAAGTGAAAAGATGAGGCACTAACTGCCTTTTGAGTCGACTCAAAAGTCACGATGAGAAGTGAAAAGATGAGGCACTAACTGCCTTTTGAGTCGACTCAAAAGTCACGATGAGAAGTGAAAAGATGAGGCACTAACTGCCTTTTGAGTCGACTCAAAAGTCACGATGAGAAGTGAAAAGATGAGGCACTAACTGCCTTTTGAGTCGACTCAAAAGTCACGATGAGAAGTGAAAAGATGAGGCACTAACTGCCTTTTGAGTCGACTCAAAAGTCACGATGAGAAGTGAAAAGATGAGGCACTAACTGCCTTTTGAGTCGACTCAAAAGTCACGATGAGAAGTGAAAAGATGAGGCACTAACTGCCTTTTGAGTCGACTCAAAAGTCACGATGAGAAGTGAAAAGATGAGGCACTAACTGCCTTTTGAGTCGACTCAAAAGTCACGATGAGAAGTGAAAAGATGAGGCACTAACTGCCTTTTGAGTCGACTCAAAAGTCACGATGAGAAGTGAAAAGATGAGGCACTAACTGCCTTTTGAGTCGACTCAAAAGTCACGATGAGAAGTGAAAAGATGAGGCACTAACTGCCTTTTGAGTCGACTCAAAAGTCACGATGAGAAGTGAAAAGATGAGGCACTAACTGCCTTTTGAGTCGACTCAAAAGTCACGATGAGAAGTGAAAAGATGAGGCACTAACTGCCTTTTGAGTCGACTCAAAAGTCACGATGAGAAGTGAAAAGATGAGGCACTAACTGCCTTTTGAGTCGACTCAAAAGTCACGATGAGAAGTGAAAAGATGAGGCACTAACTGCCTTTTGAGTCGACTCAAAAGTCACGATGAGAAGTGAAAAGATGAGGCACTAACTGCCTTGCCGCCGGGCTTGTGCGGCGGAAATGCAGGATGCTGATGCTGTATGTGACCTGCTTTACAGGGGGTAGGAGGAGGGGAAGGGGGAGGAGGGAAATGCGGAGGAGGGGCGACGATGAAAGAGCAACAACAGAAGAGTTATATGTTCACCGCCTTGTCAGGCGTGTGGGGAAGACGTGCAGGATGCCGATGCTCTATGTGCCCTGGGCTATAGCGGGTGGGGGGGAGGAGGAGGGAGGACGGAGGGGAGAGAGGGAAGGGAGGGGGGAGAGGAACAAGAGAGAGAGAAATAAATGCAGGGTGTCAATGCTATATACCCCCTGGGCTACACAGGGGGATGAGCATCTCGCCCCGGCGGGTCGGGTCAGGAGTTCTGAACCGCTGACCCGGCCGGGTCGGGTCGGGTATACCCGGCCGGGTCGGGTCGACTCTTGACCCGATTCCGGGTCGGGTCGGGTCGGGTCAGGTTTTGACCCGATTATGGACTCGACCCGGTTTGGGGTACCGTACCGCGCCCTATGTCGGGTCGGGTATCTGGCCCGACCCGAGGGTTTCCTCTCGACAATGTTATCCAGATCGCAATCACGCTTGCTTGTTTTCTCAGCGACTAGCATTTCGATCTGGATTAAGCTAAGTTAACTAGCTAGTGACGCCAGCAGCCACCCCCAAGCAACATTGGCGTACTAATCTACCCTATAACCTACGATAATGTTTAGTTAGTACTCAGGCAATCGGTTTTTTATAAGTTATTCGCACTTCGCGCCAACCAGTCTAGGGTTTCCTTTTAATCCGAAATTAACAGGTCGCGCTCCCTCCCTAGGCGCACGCATTGCAGGCCCGCGTTTTAGGGCATCTCGGCGTGCCGTGCAGGCGCAGGTCGCTAGAGCCGCGGCCCTGCTGAAGGCTTCGAGAAACGTCATTCGCCAAGGTCCTGCACAGTATTAAGGAGATCCTCTAACCCTGCCTATGGGAGTCGGCCCGACCCGACCCGACCCGGCCCCGACCCGACCCGACCTGGGGGCGGGTCAAGCCTGACCCGGCACCCGATACCCGGGTCGGGCAAGAGATCTTTGATGTTCCGACCCGACCCGACCCCACCCGACCCGGAACCCTGGCCCGCCCAAGTCGGGTCGGGCCGTTTGATCATCCCGAGGAGAAGGGTCAGGGGGAGGGAATGGAATGAGAAGGAGGGGACGGAAGAGTAGGGGAATGGGGAGGAGGAGGGGAAGGCGGAATGGGGAGGAGGGAAGAATAAGAGAGAGCAACAAATAAAAGTGATACTCTAAACCGACTGCTTCATCGTTCACTCACCCCGCTCCACAGAGCGCACGAGATGGTCGCATTGCGTGAGCCCACTCGATTCATCATTCATCAGCCCCTTTCCCCCTCTACTCCACTACGCCTACCTCAGCGCACCATGGGAACACAGCGCGCACACCGACTCACCCTGGTCCCAGTGCTCCAGCGACTCACCCTGGTCCCAGTGCTCCAGCGACTCACCCTGGTCCCAGTGCTCCAGCGACTCACCCTGGTCCCAGTGCTCCAGCGACTCGTCGTCCACCGACCGCACCAGATGGTCCGATGACGTCAGCACGTCCGCCTGGGGGTAGCGCGCCATGTACGGCAGCGGGTTCTGAGCGGCGGGGCTCGTTGGGAGGTGGGGAGGGGTTGTGTGATGGGGGAAAACCGGGGGAGTGAGGCACGTAGGGCATATCGATCAGATACACAGGCGGACATGGGGAGAGGAAGGGGGTGAGGGGTTCAACCACAAGTCTAGTTGTCCGCCCGCTTGGGGGTATCGAGCCATGTAAAGGCGGGGATTCTGGGAGGAGCGGGGCGTTTGGGAGGCGGGATGGGGGAAATATGAGAGAGTGTGAGGGTATATGATTCTGGGAGGTGGGGGCAGATTGGAGGCGGGAAGGGGAAAATAAGTGACTGCGAGGGTAAAGGGTTGTGAGAGGAAGGGTGCACATGGGACGTGAGAATGGGGGGAAAAGACTGACTCATGCGCTCACGTGCCACACACATACACCCACACACACACCCACCCACACACACCCATACACACACCCATACACACACCCACCGACACACACCCATACACACACCCACCCACACACACCCATACACACACCCACCCACACACACCCATACACACAGCCACAAACGCACCCATACATACACCCACACACGTACCCATACACACACCCACACACAAACCCATACACACACCCACACACAAACCCACACACACACCCACACACAAACCCACACACACACCCACACACAAACCCACACACAAACCCATGCACTCACCCACACACAAACCCACACACACACCCACACACGCACCCATACACACACCCACTCACAAACCCATACATACACATACCCACACACCCACAGAGACCTCCCTCACCCGCAGCCAGACGGTGCCGGTGTGAAAGATGATGAGGTGCACGCCTGGCCCCTACCCCTGGCCCCCTGGCCCCACACAAGCATGCACACACCAAGGCCCCCCTTAATCGCAGCCACACAGGAACTCTCAGACGCCTCTTACTCGCAACGCAGCGACCCCCCCTCGCCCTCACTCTGAGCCAGACGGTGTCGGTGTCGCAGATGAGCAGCTGCACGCCCAGCGACAGGAACACGTTGATGAGCGTCACCTTCTCGCGCCCCATGGCGTGGAACACAGGCGTGCCCCACCCCGGGTCGTCCGACGTCATGCCGCTCTCCAGGTCAAACACCGGCACACCCTCCCTCCACAGCGCCTCCAAGAACCGCGTGTCCATGGCGCCTGGCGGGGGCGGGGGATGGGTACCGGGGGAGGGGGGAGACGTGGTGGGATTGTTGTTGCGAGAGGGGGAGCAGAGCGCCTCTAGGAACTTGATGTCCATGGCGCCTGATATGGGGGTGGAACGGACATGAGAGGCGGGGAGCATGCGGAGTCATGGTGTTTCCTGCTCCCCAGGGCACCAACCGACCACGGGCGTGGCCCACGGCGGGCCGTCTGTTGTCATTCAGCTCTCCCCGTCAACCACCGCCACGCCCTCCCAGTACAGCGCCTCCAGCAGCCTGGTGTCCATGGCGCCTGGTGGGGGAACGTGGGCAGCAGGAGGCAAGTGAGAAGAGGGGATGCTCTTGCACGTGAGGTCACGGTGCACAGCCCAAGTCAAACACCGGCACGCCCTGCCCTGCCCGCAAAGGGCTGTCAGAAAATTCATGCCCACAGCGCCTGATGCAGGAGGGGTATGTGCATGAAATGAGGGGGCATGGGGAGTAAGCCCTTTCCTGCTCCCCATGGCACCGATGGCCCACTGCCGCACCCCACCCCGGGTGGTCCGTTGCCCATGCCACCTTCAGAACTTTGGTGTCCGTGGCACCTTGTGGGCGCATGTAGGCACACGGAAGGACACTATAATTTTGGACCATTGGAGTGAGCTCGCCAGAGCTGAGACACATGCACGGATCAGTCCAGTGCATTCCAAGCAGGGCAGCGAGCAAGGCAGGTGGCAAGGCAGGTGGCACTGACCGACGAGGATGTTGTGGACGCCGAGGTCGGTGAGGTGGCGCACCCAGTTGAGCACGAAGTCGAGGAACGCGTGGTTGGCGAACGTCACCACCACCACGCCGTCGCGCTGCCGCTGCTCCACCATCTCCCGCCGCAGGGCGAACTCGCCCCTCGCTGGCACCGCGCTGCCCGGGGGAGGCTTCTCCCAGATCTCGCGCTTCAGGGCGGCCAGCAGCGGCCTGCCCTCGTGCAGAATGGGGCGCACGCCATTCGCGAATGGCCCCGCCCCAGATGCGCCTGCCCCAGATGAATCCGTGGAAGTCGCGCCTGCATCCACTTCTCCAGCAGTCGTTCCTAGTGCCGGGGCTGTTGCTGCAGGTGCGTCTGAAGGGAGATCCAGGGATACTCCTGCTGCGCCTGGCGTTTCCTCCTTGCCCCCTGCCCCTGCTGCCCCTGCTGCCCCTGATGCTCCTGTCTCTTCTGTTGCCCCTACCTCTCCTTCCGCTGCTCCTGCCTCGTCTGCCCCTCCCGACCCTGTCGCTCCAGCTGATTCCGCTGCTGCAACTGGTCCAGCCGGGACGTGGTGTGCTGCAGCGGGGTTGGCGGGCGAGGCAGCGTCGGGGTCCACCACGTCGAGCGCCATGAGCGCCATGGACGCCTCCCTGGGCAGGCCCTGCAGCGCCGCTGCCTCCAGCCCTGCACGCACGGCGAGAGAGAGACGTGCGACTGGTGTGTGTGAGTAGAGAGGGTGGGTAGCTTCAAAGTGAAGGACGTCAAGAGCCAGGAGGCAGGAGGCAGGAGGCAGGAGGGAAGAGATGCTTCCTTCAGGCGGGCCTTGCAGTGCTGCTGTCTCGAGTCCTCCACGCATGGAGAAGAGAGGAGGAGGGGGTAGACAGGGGACAGGGGGAGACAGATTGCGGGAGAGAGGGTGTGTGACCAGAGAGGGTGAGAGAAGAAGGTGTGTGAGTAGAGAGGGTGAGCAGCGTGAGTGTGAAGGGCATTAAGGAGCGGAGCACATGCTGCCTTGGCCACGCCTTCACGTGCTGCTGCCTCTACCCTGCGATGGGTGAAGGCACGCGCAGAGAGAGGGGTGCTGCGAGGGGAGGGTGAGTTGAGAGGGGTTAGGGAAAAAGAGGCGTGTGACTAGAGAGGGCTCGACTACAGAGGGGGACCTTCGAAGGTTGGACTACTGAGGGCGTGGGAATTCAGATGGTGGAGGTGGAGACTAGGTAGGGGAGGGTGGGACTAGAGCGGGTGAGCGGCCCGAGCGGCAAGCCACGAGTGCGATGAAGCCTTAAACTCACTGACTCACCATCCCAGCAACCTCGAAACCCGTACCGCACCTCGCGCGTTGCCGACGGGCCGAATGGTTCCTCCCTGCGCTGCTGTTCCCGTCGTGCCAGCGGCAGTGGCGTCCGAGAGGCCCTCGCGGTACTCCTGCAACCTCGCTTCCATCTCCCAGTACAGCGGCCGACCCACATAGTACAGAATCACCACGATGGCAACCGCTGCCACCACGTTCAGCACGCGAATTCGACCCGCCATGCGTGCATCGGAAACAGTCTGTTAGGGATGGTTCGCCAAACCACGGAACCTACGGCGAAATGCGGAATGACGGCGGAATGGAAGCGCGTGGGAGATTCTAGATCGACGACGGTGGAAGTCGGCCTACGGTGGGGAATAGAAGCTACCGCGTGAGAAGCGGGAGAGAAATCGAGAAGAAATGTGCTAGGAGGAAGAGAGAAGGAGAAGCATCGAAAATGAGATCGACGGGGGAAATTGTGGTTCGAGACCTAGGCGCGTTCGAGATGGTGCTGGTTTCGGACTCGAGGAGTGTTCACCGAATTCGGTTCGGTTCCGTTTGCGACTCAGGGTGCCCGAGGCGCGCGCGAGATTAACTGGGAAACAAGTTACGTTACGAATCGCGTTTTGTATCTTGTTGGACAATAAAACTGCTTGTACTCATTCTGGACAATATACCAATCAGATTCTGAAAATTGCTGAAGTGTATTGACAACTTCAAGCAGAGCTGTGCACATAATTGGAATTGGGTGATCGTCGAGAACACGATAGGCACTAGCAAGTAGAACATTGCCGACCTAGAACTGGTATCAGAGCTTGGCGAATTGGTATCGTCGTGAATTCACTTGGTGTGCTAAGTGAAATTAGTGGAGAAGAGGAGTTATTCACGCCTACGCCATGACGGACGAGGCGAGTTCGGGTTCCAGCATGAGTCTTGAAGACCCGCAGTTGAAGGCTCTTCTCGAGGCCTTTGCGAGCAGCCGTTTGGTGGCGAAACCGACGATCGGGCTCAGTGAAGCCCAACGCTTTAACGACAGCAACTACAACGTGTGGCGGAAGAAGTTTATTCGGAGGGCAGAGGAGGTTGACCTCTTGCCATGCTATCGTCCCGACGAGGAGATGAAAGAGGGAGTTGCGCCTTCCACGACGGATACGAAGGAGAAAATAACGGCGTTAAAAAAGCAAAGTAAGCAAGCGTTCTTTAAGCTTTGTCACTCAGTTGCTGATGGAGTCGAAGTGGAATTGGACCAGTTTGCAGGGGAGCGGAACTCTTCACAGCGAGCGTGGGAGTACCTGAAATCCACGTACATAGGCATCAACGATGTCAACAAGAAGGCGATTATGAAGCAACTGCTGATGCTGAGCATGGAGAAATGCGAGAAAATCATCACCTACACCAATAGGGCGAAAAGCTACAACGACGACTTGCGGGTGATGAGAGCCACGGAGACGGAGCACGAGATGATCGACTACATAATTCAAGGCCCTCCCAAGGAGTGGGAATCCGACATTGGTATGTTTATGTATGAACCGCTAGGGAGTTGGGCGAAGCTGCAAGAGATTCTGCAATCGCTTGAGACGGTGAAGGAGATGAGGAAAAAAGAAAGCGGCAGCAGCAGCTAAGGAATTCGACGAGGATAGGCCGGCTTTGGTGAATGCAACGAAGGCGTTTGGAGCGTGCTACCAGTGTGGATAGAGAAGGCATAAGGTGATAAACTGCTATCTGCGAAGTAGGAACTTCAAAGGCAAAGCGGTGGAGAACGAAAATGGAGCAAATGGGGGAGTGGAGTGGCAGCGGAAACGTGGTTTTGGCGGCAAGTGTGATTATTGTGGGCGCTACGGACATCGTGCCGCAGAGTGCTACTCCAAACCGAATAGCAGGAGCTACAAGGGCCTGTCGCAGTAGAGGAACGCGGCGGCAAAGGCGAATGTAGCAGAAGCAGAAAAGGAGTATGTGATTTTGGGAGGATCGCACCTTGCAAACGTAGTGCGTCTACCGAAGGATGTTCGACAGTCGGATGGACGTGAGAAGACGTCATAGTACATGGATAGTGGATTCACGCGACACATGACGTTCAGGTCAGACTGGATGGAGAACGTGAGGGATTCCAGTGAGGATTATATACTGCAAGGTAACAATGGGAAGTTACCGGTGACAGGAGAGGGTGATGTGGTGCTGCAGAGTCCGTACGGAGAGGTGAAACTAGAGAATGTGTTGCTGGTTGAGGATTCAAAGGTGAATTTGATGAGTCAGTCACAGCTTGAAGAGTTGGGGTGCAAGATAAATTATGACAATGGCGAGGTTACTGTGTTTGGTCTTGAGTGGGAGAGGTATGCGGATGGTTATTTCAGCGACGGGTTCTATGAGATGAACTTGATCGCGATAAAATCTATGAGGGCCCTGAGTATACTGAGATGAGAGAATTGGAGGATTTATCGACTAAGGTTGATGAAAGTGAGGTCTTGGAGGATACGGGAGCAAGTGTGGAGCCAGAAGTGAAGCATGAAGAGGAGAACGTCACCATGGAGGCAGCAACATGTCAAACTCATATGCTATAGTCTGTGTAGGCTGTAGTGGGGTAGACAATATGGGGTACAACACTTTTAGGTTTTCCTACTTGTACCCACCTGCTTGCTAGTTCATCCATCCCTCGTTCCTTAACATGGTATAGAGCAGGTTCCCTAGAGGGAACGTTTCCTAGGGCCCACCGAATATCCATTTTTTTTTCCTGCCCGGAGCGCGCTTCGCCCCTGCCAGAGTCGCGCCCCGTGTGCCTACCCTCCCGTCTCGTCCCCTGCCCTTAGTGGCCCGTCGCGCTCCCCTACGGCCCCGTAGCGGCCCCTCTGACGGCCTCTCACGGCCCCTCTTACGGCCCTTCGCGGCCCCTTCAGGTCCCTTCGCGGCCCCTTCACGGCCCCTTCACAGCCCCTTCACGGCCCCTTCGCGGCCCCTTCACGGCCCCTTCGCGGCACCTTCGCCGCCCCCTCGCGGCCCCTTCGCGGCCCCTTCGCGGTCTCGCCCCGTCGCCAGTCGCGGTCCCGCCGCGTCGCCCCCGCCTCGTCGCGTCGCCCCTGCGGGACCCGCGAGGCGCAGCTCCTGTGCGTCGCGACGCCCTTGCGGGACCCGCGTGGCGTCACCCCTGCCCGCCGCGGCGCCCTGCCCTAACCCGAACCTGGAGCAGCCGCCACTGCAGCAGCCGCCCCTTGAGCAGCCGCCACTGCAGCAGCCACCCCTGGAGGAGCCTCCCCTGCAGCGGCCGCCCCTGGAGTAGCCACCCATGCAGCAGCCGCCCCTGGAGCAGCCATCCATGCAGCAGCCGCCCCTGGAGCAGCCACCACTGCAGCAGCCGCCCCTGGAGCAGCCGCCACTGCAGCAGCCGCCAATGGAGCAGCCTCCCCTGCAGCAGCCGCCCCAGGAGCAAACGCCACTGCAGCAGCCGCCCCTGGAGCAGCCACCCTTGCAGTAGCCGCCCCTGGAGCAACCGCCCCTGCAGCAGCCGCCCCTGGAGCAGCCACCCTTGCAGCAGCCGCCCCTGGAGCAGCCACCCGTGCAGCAGCCGCCCCTGGAGCAGCCGCCACTAGAGCAGCCAGTGGCGGCCCTTCGCGGCACCTTCGCGGCCCCCTCGCGGCCCCTTTGCGGCCCCTTCGCGGCCTCGCCCCGTCGCCAGTCGCGGTCCTGCCGCGTCGCCCCTGCCTCGTCGCGTCGCCCCTGCGGGACCCACGAGGCGCAGCTCTTGTGCGTCGCGACGCCCCAACGGGACCCGCGTGGCGTCACCACTGCCCCCCGCGGCGCCCTGCCCTAACCCGAACCTAGAGCAGCCGCCACTGCAACAGCCGCCCCTGGAGCAGCCGCCATTGCAGCAGCCACCCCTGGAGTAGCCACCCATGCAGCAGCCGCCCCTGGAGCAGCCACCCCTGCAGCAGCCGCCCCTAGAGCAGCCGCCACTGCAGCAGCAGCCCCTGGAGCAGCAGCCACTGCAGCACCCGCCCCTGGAGCAGCCGCCATTGCAGCAGCCGCCCCTGGAGCAGCCGCCCCTGCAGCAGCCGCCCTTGGAGCAGCCGCCACTGCAGCAGCCGCCCCTGGAGCAGCCACCTCTGAAGCAGCCGCCCCTGGAGCAGCCGCCCCTGCACCAGCCCCCCCAGGAGCAAACGCCACTGCAGTAGCCGCCCTTGGAGCAGCCACCCTTGCAGTAGCCGCCCCTGGAGCAACCGCCCCTGCAGCAGCCGCCCCTGGAGCAGCCACCCTTGCAGCAGCCGCCCCTGGGGCAGCCACCCCTGCAGCAGCCGCCCCTGGAGCAGCCGCCACTGCAGCAGCCGCCCCTGGAGCAGCCACCCCTGTAGCAGCCGCCCCTGGAGCAGCCACCCCTGCAGCAGCCGCCCGTGGAGCAGCCGCCACTGCAGCAGCCGCCCCTGGAGCAGCCACCTTTGCAGCAGCCGCCCCTGGAGCAGCCGCCCCTGCAGCAGCCGCCGCTGGAGCAGCCACCCCTGGAGCAGCCGCCCCTACAACTGCCGCCCCTGGAGCAGCCGCCCCTGCAGCTGCCGCGGAGCCCTCACCCTACAGTGGTAGCGGCCTCGCCGTTGCCGCCGTCGTACGCCTTCCCTTCTCGCCACTGGTGAGCACTGCCCTGCCCGTACTGCTGTTACTGCTGCTCTTGCTGCTTCTGCTCTTTCCACTACTACTGCTGCTCCTGGCGTGGCCAGATGCAGCTCCACCGACGTCCGCGTGAGTCCCTCACCCCCCAACAGCTTCGTGAGTGGTACTCTAGTTGGGGTTATAGGGGTGGCCGCGCTGCGACTACTGCTATTGCTACTGCGGCTACCACTGCTCTTGCTGCTCCTAGCGGTGGCCCGATGCAGCTCCAGCAACGTTCGCGTGAGTCCCTCACGCTCCAGCAGCTTCGTGAGTGGTACGCTACTTGGGGTTGTCGGGGTGGCCGTAGTGGGAGTCGTCCTGGAGTGAGTAGTTTGGCAGCTGCTTGTAGTGGCCAGATGCACCTGCAGCGTCGTCCGTGCGCGGTCCTTTCGTCCCAGCATCTTCGTGAGTGGTACGCTCAGCGTGGCGGGTCACGGGGTACTGCTCGCTGTCCGTACGTTATTCGCACTGGTGCTCGGACTGGTCACCCTTGTGGGATGTTTGGCCACGCAGAGTTCCGCTGCTTCACCCGTCTGAGCGACGCCAGGCGTACGGAGTTTGGCGACGCGGCTGAGCTCCTCGACTGGGTGGAGCTGCTTAGGCTGCAAGT